AACGTATGCCGACCCAGCCTAATTTGTCCTGGGGAGGGTGGGGAAGAGGTGCAAACGTCTCTCAATAAGGGATTTGTTCTCGGGTTAGAATCGGGAAAGAAGCCTGTTTCTTTGTAGGAGACGCTCACCCTCTACTTCTGTCTCTTCACCTGAAAGCCAGCCTTGGTGAGTACTGCAGACCTTGAAGATTTGGTTCCCTGACACAGTTTCTTCAGCTGTTGTATTTCTGTGTCCTTTGTCCTTCTCCTGCTTTAAGCTCCCTGCTGCCCTTCCCCAGCTCCAACCTGTTTTACCAGAGAACTTACTCCATCAAGTGTCTGCGTGGAAACCCTTTTCCTGAGCAGCCACTCCTCTCCCCACAGCCACGATTGCCCTCTGTGTTTTTACTTGATGTGAGCCATTTTGCCACAGTCGGTTTTTATCCATTTCCTCAAAAGGAAAACAGACACGAAACAAAAAGCCTGATTTATTGGTGCTGATTTGTGGGGGAGGGGCATGGTGTATAAGAAACACCAGGCTATCAGATAGATGAGCAAACATGGCCATTGCTCTGGATCGGGGTGGCCTGTGATGTTTTACATGGTGATTGGGATGAGCACGGAGGGCCTATAAATAGTCCTGACAAAGCCTCAGAATCCTTGAGAGGGGAGCTGTTCTCAGAAGGAAAATTGCCTTTCTCAAGGACCTACATGTTTTTCCTGCAGGTTCCTGAGTGGTGGTTGGGGTTCCCAGTAACTCTTTTGCCTCTGGGAGTCCGGATAAGCACATTAGCTTAATTTTACTTCAGCTTTCTTTGTGTACCAAAAAATTCCATTCTAGCTCCTTAAAGTGTATTTTCAGTGAAAATCTCCCTTATTGGTGCTGGAGATTGCAGCTCAGGTCACCCTTTGACAGAACAATGAGAGGCAAGCTCACAGATGACTCAGTTCAGAATGGTTAGAGGGCAGCTTCCAGTGGTATTAGAGCCAATGAATCATAATGTAAATCATAATCTAGGTACATAAGCATATCCCTTTGTTGCTATACCACATGAAATGGTTGTCTAAGATAAAATTTGGAAGATATGTTTAGGATGGCCTGATTTAAAATAGAATACATGTTACATATATGACATATGAATATCTTAGACAGAGAAAACAAACAGTGGTTTCAAAGCAAAAGTCACAAGGTAAATGATCTAAGTTGCAGGGGTCTCTTTTGGATCAAGCAGCTTCTTATGTGCAGGTCTCTGAAGAGCATGATCCAAAATATCAGCCAAGCTCTCTTTAACAACAGTTAACAACAATATCAAGAACAACACTAGTGTCTGTCATCATTGAATAAATGCTTTCCATAGACCAGGCACCATTCCAGGGAATTAATAAATATATTTATTAATTCATGTATACATATATGATATATAGGTATGGTTTTCATTTTAGAAAGAATACTGAGGTTCAGAGGAGTTAAGTTAATTATACTTATTGACTATACCTAAGAAATGGTATATTAAATTCACTTTTGAAGAAGTGGAGCTCGTGTTTGAACCAGCCTTAGGGTGTTCAGAGATTTCCTGTTCAGTAGCTACTTAGTGATTTAGGTCAGGGATTTAGAAGGAACCTAACTATTGGCACCTTTGTCTCATTCTTTTCAGCTTCTTTCTCTTTCCTAGCTCCATCATTAACCCTCTGAATATATTTATGTGCATCTCTCTGGCATTATATATATATTGGTATTTGAATAACAAATGCATGCCAAACATGTCACTCTGTTTACACGTCTTTTCCACAGTAGCTCTGTGTCGCCATAGTGTGCCTTATGGTCTACTAACCCACCAAGAGGAGCCAGGTAAGCCTGATTTGTGACTCTCACTCACCATTGTATCTTTGGCACCTAGCGCAATGCCTAGCCTGCAGGAAGCATTCTACTAGTTAATCTCAAACTCTGGTCTGTCCACAGTGCCACTGAAGAGCAGCTCTGTGAACTTGTCCATTTGTGAGTGTGTGGCTGGCGTGTCTGTTACCTTAAACTATGAAAATAAAGAGAAAGTTCCTTTGGAGGTCTTCTTTGTATTTCCCGTGGATGAAGACTCAGCTGTCTATGACTTTGAGGCCATGGTAGATGGGAAAAAATGGCAGAATACAGGACAAGATGAAGGTACCAGGGATGAGTACTTTGTCTCCTTTTTATCTCCCCATTAGGATCTCTAGAAAAATGCAACTTTACAAAAATAGGCTGATGTTGAATGCTTTTTCCCCACTCCCATCTAGCCACTATTTTCCTAAAAGTATTTGGAGGGAAAAATCAGTCAGGCTTTCAAGGAGGATAAGTGCTCCAGGGACATCTGCTGTAATGTGGAGAACCTCTATCCTGGCTCAAAGGCAGCACTCACCCTGAAGTATGTGCAGGAGCTGCCCCTGGAAGCAGATGAGGCTTTGAACTATGTGCTCCCAGCCATCCTAAATCCTTGGTATCAACTATCTGGTGAGTATCTGCTCTCTTTGAGTACTGGTGGTGGGGAACACAATTGGGGAAATCTACTCAAGATATTAGGGGTGCTAAAAAGTATGGGAAGAGAAAATATAACTCAGGCAACATTTTGTAGGATGGCCCAAGGACAGTTGACTCCTATCATCCCTTTGGAGGACCTGCCCCACACACTCAGCATGGTTGCCACCATCAGTTCCCAGCATAGCAATTGTCCCTTGAGTCCCACTGAGTACCTTGGAGATGATAAGACAGCTGTTCTGGTAATCAATAAGAGAACCCTTTTATTGCCAGCACCCCTATTCTTGGATCCTGATCTTGTTCTTCACTCAGTCTTCCCTAAATGTTCCATACTTTTACCTATGAACCTAGAGGGAGTCCCACTCTGCTCCTCTTTTATCTCCTTGCAATCTCCAGAGCCTCCTCTCCATTTCACCCCTGCCCCTGATTATTATGCCTACTCGTGGAAGAAGCCATAGCCCTCAGCTCTGACCTCAGCCCCAAGCAGCAAGCAGCGATAGTGCTAGCATGGCTTCTTTGCTTGTTTCTAACTCAGATTTCCTTGGCTGCTGGACACAGATTTGATCACGATATGGAACTCCTGATTTACTACAGTGAGCTGCATACCCCCAATGCAGCTGTGGAGATGGGAAAACCTACAAAAGACACTGGTATTTTCTTTCTCCCTTTGTAATTATCTCCTAAGGGGTAACTCCTATCTTGGAGTTATGCTCAAATTACTCTCACTTTTCTTTCCTTATATCCGGTAGTGGGTAAAAAAACGGAAATAGCTTACACTATGGCATGCAAAAATAGTTCAGGTCAAGGAATATCATGTGACTATATGTATTACAGGCGAATTTAAGTGAATCAGTAGATAACTGGACAATGGATATGAACAAATAATTCATAAGATGAAACACAGCTAATTTAATAACATATGTGACAAATCAGTCTCTACGAGAGCAAATAAAAATAAAATAAAAATAACGATGTGACATTTTCACTTTTCAAATTATCAGTTTTCTAAATCTGATAATGCCTCGTGCTTTAAAAAGTGAATTTGGCACTCTCATAGATTTCTCGAAGCAAAATAATTTATTTGGATCAAACTTTTGAGAAGAAATTGTGGCCATATGTGTCAAATGTTCATTTTGGTAATTCCAATTTTGACAATCTTACCTAAGGAAGTAAATCTAAATATAGGTAAAATTATGCACTGATGTCTTCTGCCATTTTAGCAATATCAAAGATTAATAAGCAATCAAAATGTCTTACAGTAGCTAAATTAACTATGCTGGGTATGCTTGATTAGTTATATCTACTGAATGATGTATATTAACAGATTAAAATAATATGGAAAAAAGGTCTTCCAGAGAATGTTAAGTAAAAGAAAAGTAGGTTATAAAGACAGATTATTATAAGAAAATAACCTATACATTAAGAAAAAAACATTTAAAACCACAGAAAATATACAAGTAGTAATTGTGATTAGATTAAGACTAACTTTACTAATTTATTTTTTAATCTAATAAATAACTTTTTTTGATTGATTTTTCACATCAGCATGTAAGCTCACTTGGAGTTCTTTTTTTTTTTCTTTTTTTCTTTTTGTCTTTTTTATAACTAATTATATAGTTCTATTGCCCTAAGTATTTTCACCTCGTTGTATAACTGTCACAGCCATCATAGTCAAATGCCATATCCTGGGTTAGGCTCTTATTTCTCTAACTGCAACTACTATAAAAAGAGTTCCCTGTAGCTGGTCTTCAGTAGCCCATCTTTCTCTTTCATTGTTAACGTTTGGCCAGGATAGCGTCATACTCCAGGTCACGAATTGGAACTTTTTAGTTTGCCCTTACTTGTTCAACTGTTTTTCCCCCCTCAGGGCAAACTGCCCATGCTAAATCTGTGAGAGAGGCTCCCAAGTTCAGCCAGGTTTGCTTCAGCCCCTCTTCCGTGAAGCTCTGTGCTCTGTCTTTGTACCTTAGTAACCTGGTTCCATCCTTCCCTTTTGGTGAGTTTCTCCTTGGATGCCCATGAAATACTCCCACAACAGTGACCTGGTTTTTCGTCAGGATTATTTTAATCCACCAGAGGAAGTTTTAAAATGTTGGCTTTTAAAAGATAAGGATTGAGGTCTTAGTCCCTTTCCTTCTGGGACGTTCTGCTGGCCCCTGTGCAGATTTCCTCATCTGTTCACTGTGAGCAGCTCTGCAGGCCGTCGTGGGACAGCGGGAGCAGCCTTTATGAGTTTCGTGAATACCCCCCAGCAGGGCTGCTCACATCTTGCTTTCCAGATCATATATTTGGTGAAGGTGACTTGCTGTTCTCATTTATACAAAGAAGTAAATGACAACTGGCAGCTTGGCTCACTAAAACCATTTAGAGTTCTGCCAGATGAAATATACCACTACATGCTGAAAAATGCAAAATAGATTTTTTAAAACTTAGAATGTTAGAACTTTAGGTGGCGAACACATAATACAATATGTATATCACGTATTATTGAAGTGTATACTTGAAACCTATGTAATTTTATCAGCCAGTGTCACCCAAAAAAATTTAATAAAAAATTTAATAAAAGTTAGACTGTACTTACCGTATTAAGAACATGATTTTAAAATATATATTTATTTGTAATTTAATATAAATAATTGTATAAAAACAATGTATAAGTTTACAAAATTATTAAGAACTTAATTTGAGTTGAGCCCTAGGTTGAGTTTCTTAAGTGTATTATGTCACTATCCTTACAATAATCTTGAAATGGATATTAATTACCTTGATTTTTAAGATGAGGAACCTGAAGCTAGCAAGCAGAAGAGCCAGGGCTCGAAATCCCTCATTTAAAAATGAGGGAGCAGAAACTTGTGGAAGTGAAAATAATTAGAGTCAAGCCAAAAGAATTACAGTAAATAACACATTTGTAGTGTTTATTGTATGTCTGGCATTGTTCTAAGTAGTTCAGATATGTCAGCTCATTTCATGCTCATGGTGACCTTTCTGACATATCAGTACAGTGACAGTCCCACTATACCCAGCTGTCTCTCAGGATGGAAAGGAGTCTACCTTACCCGTTAAGAAAAGCTGCTCCTCTACCATCTATCCAGAGATCTGGGTTATGTAAAAGTTATTTTTGGATATATTATTTCTTGAGCCTCACCCATTTTATTTGAAAACAATTTCATTGTCGGGATATCCCATGTGTGAGAGAATAAGCTGAGCCCGGTCCTGTAGTCCCACTGAATCTCAGGGCTACTGCGAATTTAAACCTGTAATCCTGGAATCACTATAAAAATGGGATATTAGAATTAGATTCTATGTCTTCTTATAGTCTCTGAACTGTGTATCTAGAGTTAATATGAACCAGCCATTCTCATTACATCTCTATCTTAATACTCACATTTCAATTCCTGCATCAGTTTTCATTGTTCCTCAAAACAAAATCACAGCTATGCCTTTGACAACTTGGTGACATAGGCCGGCTCTCATTGTCTCCTGAATGCTGCTGTTTGGGTGATGCTATTAGAGTTTCAACACACATCCCAGTGCTTCTCTTTCTTTGTTCTAGAGAGTATTGGTAGGTGCTTCATAGCAAAAGCAGATGACTTTCCTTAGTGTGTATGACACACTTTCAGCTCTTGTGAATTGTCAACATGAGAATTGTCCATATGAGCATCATTTTTTAAAAGCTGTAATTAAAGATTTAAACAAGGACCCATGTGATAAATTTCCCACTGATTTGATTTGAAGAGAATGTGTTTGCAGATAAATTAGCTTGATTCTTCAGACAATTGCTGGAACATTTTAACTTAACGTATAGCTGCTAGAAAACTAGCATCCAATTTTAGTATTTTAATTATTGCTCATATACCTAATAACCTCTACTCTATTTTTTTCTTATCTGTTCTGCTGCTGTATCTTTTATATGTTTATAATTCACCTCAAACCCTTTGCCAGCAGATATGATATAACGATCAAACAGGATTTTATTTTAGATTTGAGTTTTCTCAGCTTCCTATGTAACTCAGGACAATTGATTCTTGGCATCTTTAGTATGCTTTCTTGAGTTCCCTTACATTTACATCATACATTGTCCTTATCCTTTCCGAGTAGATTGTTTGATGGGAGATCCATCTTCAATGATGAGTTTCTACCTGAACATCCCAGAAGCTCAGCCACCAATTACCTGTGGATAATTTGTCTTCCTTATGAACTATGCAAGGCCCCATGAGTAAACAGGATAAATCTCAACCGCGCATAGAGGCGGCCAAGGTAAAACTAGTTCTTTTCTTTTTTTCTGTCACATCTTTGAGTAGGGATGAATCTCAGGGTTTAAAATAGGTCCTTCTGGAAATTTGGGTCTGTTTCTATCTGAGCTAAAGCTGACATGACCACTCCAAGGCCTGCAGTGGAAATAAAGGCCTCGAAGCACGAAAAGGGTAAAGGCCCATGCCCTCAAGAGTCAGATTGGCAGGGGCTGTGTGTCTGAGAGGACCCTCTTACTGTCTCCTCATATTCTCTTCCTCCAGGAAGCACTGATTTTGCTGCAGAAGAGTTTGCCTATAGGCAGTTATTTCAACGTATATGGATTTGGATCTTGCTATGAGCCATTCTTTCAGTAAGTTTCTAGAACAGCCATACAGAGTCCAAAAAGATACTCTAAAAAAAGGGCTAGCTGGTTAAAGAGGTTACTGTAGCATTGACTTTGGCATTGGGGATTTCATGTGAGATTGTTTACAGTGGACCCAGTACTGGGCAATGTTGAGTAGCTGTGTCACTGGATGTGTTCATTTTTCTCAGTCGTAGTGTGAAGTACACTCAATGTACCATGGACAAGGCACAGAGGAGAGTTAAGCTTGTGCAGGCTGACCTAGAGGGCATGGAAATCTTGACACCACTCAGGAACATTTGCCATCCCGGGCCTTCCATCCTGGGCCACCCTCTACAGATAAAAACTGAAACTGAGCTAACAGAGAGGGAAAAAATCTGTTCAAGAATCCATAGTCCTGGGCTTCACTGTAGAGTTGATGAAATATGAGTTGTCTATCACGTAGTAAAGAGGAAAGGACAAGAGGCGTTTGATAGAATTCTTCTCCTTAGCTTCATGCTGTGGTTCATGGATGATGGAAGTCCTTTTGTGGAGTGCCAGGGTTCTGAACAAACCATGTGAGAACATGGTGTAAGTGACAGTGGACCATTCGGGACCTCATGCCTGTCTGAAGAGGCAGCAGAGTCTCTGGAATGAAATAGTTGGGTTTTCAAGGGCAAATTCTGGTATTTTAAAAATGAACTTCATAGAGACTTGATAAATGTCTTCTTTCTTTAGCTTTTTGTCTTCATAGATGGAGAAGTTACTGACACATTTAGTGTAATTAAAGAAGTTCAGATCTACAGTCTGAGGCACAGGTATGACGAAAATGTGGTTTCTGGGTGACTGACCCAAGCAGTACCACATGTGATCTAGTGTCACATGATTCCAGTGTTGACATTCTTTTCAAAGGACTGAATGATTCGAGAATCTTAGTTTATCCCCTAATAATTTTTTCTACATCATTTTCCCCTCTCTACTAAAAGATAAGAGTGATTTTTCTAAATAATGTCAATAAAATAACAGGGGATATCATTGCCCCTTATTCTCTCTAAAACATAATGGAAACAAGTATTGAATAGTAAGACTTTTTATTTTAGTGTAAACTGTTCGTTTTAAGTAAAACATATAGAAAGCTACACAAATCATAAGTATATAGCTGAATGAATTATCAGAGTGATCATACATTGTAATCACCACACATGTAAAGTAAAAGAATATTACCAGTAGCTCTCTGCCTATCCTTTTCCATCATGTCCCAAATTTAATTACCCATTTTTTCCTCTCCAAAGGAAATAGCTTCTGAGTTACAACACCATGGATTATATTTGCTTGTTTTTGAATAAAAATAAATGTTATACAGTATGTTTTAATTTCTGTGTATCTCGCTTCTTTCTCTCAGCAGTATGTTGAGATTCATGCATATTTTGCATGGAACCATAGTTAGTTTTCATTGGTATATAGTATTCCTTTCCTTAGGATGATTAACCATAATTTTTTGATTGTTTTTATTTGTTTTTGTGTTTTGTTTGGTT